AAAAAAACCCAGGGCCGGCCCCCTCAGTGGATTATAGGCGGCGGTGTGTGTGTGTGGGGGGGGGGGGGGTACAGATACCTTTGTTAGTGTGTGCAACCACAGCCGAGCTGATATCTTGATCACGGCGCTAAAGCCCCGCCCCAAAGCCATGACATCACACTCAAACCTTACACACCCCGTATCTCTGCTGCTGCAGTTCTGAGAAACAGGCATAAACAAAAAAATAAACAAAATATATATACATAACTCATCCTTAGATTGGAAAAACACATTCAATGTTTCAAAATAAAGTTTAGTTGGGATTAGGAATGCAGAAGAACAAGGTTTGTATGTTTTTTACCACATAGACAGTTTGTCTGTCGGAGTTTGTCTCCTCCTGCTGGATGGAATTTGAAACTGCAGCAACACTGTAGTTACTCAGCAACTGAGGGCAAGTAAGAGATTAACAACTTAGCTAGAGAGGAGGTATACATACAGGTAAGGTTAAAATAAGTTGTTGAAAGGTGAGCGTTAAAAAGGCAGGTGGAGCCAGAGATAAAATATCAAAGGGATCCACGAATAGACTGAAATAGACTTACTGGTACTTTGTAATTGAATTCATAATTGTTTATGGACCAAAAATTAGAGGCTTATTAGATTATTAGAAACCAGAGGCCAGTTAGAGGCTTCTCCTGATCTGGTGACAGACAGCTATAGAAGATCCTTCCTGCCTACAGCTATCAACACCTACAACACCTGTTTAAAAAAATATGTATGAGTAACTGCAACATTTAATGTCTGGGATTAATAGAGCATTTTTGTACTGAATTTAATCTAATTTTCATCTCATTTGATTTTGATTTCATGTTTGCTTCTGCTAATGGTGTTAGCTCTACCTAATATAATTAGCAATATATCACAAGCCAGTCACATGTGTTTGTTTCAATAGATAACTCATGTATAACTTCATGAAAACTTAGATTCAGTGATGCATTGTGGCATTATCGACATTTACACCACCTAAAAGTTATACAATGAAATCACTCGGTTAGCCTTCCTGAGGGTTTTCAAGTTAAAAGGAAATTACAACATATTTAGGGCGACATCTTCAACTAGTTGAACCTTTAAGAAAAGTGAGGTATAGATAGGTAAGGAATAGAAAAGTAAGAGATAGACTAGTAAGGTGCAAGTTACATAAACTAACATGGAAAATGTTTGCATACCTCTAAAGGCACCAGCTCTGATGTGTTTAGGGTCTGACAACTCAAGGATTCTTCTGAGGGAGAGGAGATGACGTAGAGTAAAAAGTATTGTTGCCAGGTGGAGGGAAAGTCAACGGTCAGTCGGGCATTGACAGAACTGGGACCCTGATTCCTGATCTACAAACAGGCATCATTAAAATTATAGGTAACATCAGTGTTAGCAGCTTAAACTGGCAGCATGATAGAGATGCTGAAGTTCATCTGCATGTGACTGGAAGCAGACAGCAGCTCTTTATCTACCAAAACACTTCTAGAACTTCTAGTCTACATCAGTAGGCCAGCAGAGCTACTTCAGCTTCCAGAGACCAACAGCTCTGCCTTATGTGGAACTCCAGCCTGTCTTAAAGGTACACTATGCAACCGGTGTTGATTTTCCAGCGAGGCTCCCCCCAGAGGGCGAAAGTAAAAGTGCAC